TTCATATACTCAGTACAGTAGTTTGTTCTTTGATAGTTTGTCTTTTCCCTGTAGAAACAATAAAGCATCTCATGTACTGTGGCACCCATTCACTTTAAATATTCTACATCTGTGTACGTATGTATGTATTGTGTTTTATTCCCAGATCTAAGAAATAATATCTACTTTCATCTGTATGTTCTATCTTCTACACATTTCTCTGAATTTCAGTTTGGTGTCGTACCTTCTCTCTGATCTCCAGTGCTCTCTTGCAGAGCGGCTCAGCCTCTTTGTACTTGCCCCTCTTTCCGTACAGCACGGCCAGGTTGTTGAGCGTGGCAGCCACAGCTGGATGATCCTTCCCCAGCGTCTTCTCCCTGATGGCCAGGGCGTCGTTCAGGAGGTGAGCTGCCTCTTTGTACTTGTTCTGGTCCCTGGAGGACAAAGGACAATGACGGCACCGAATCCCTTCACCACCAACGTGTTTTTCACAACACGGCCTCCTCTCTGATTCTCACCTGTACACCAGGGCCAGGATGTTGAGCATGGTGGCGACGTCGGGGTGGTCGTGTCCAGACGTCTTCTCCAGGTCCTCCAGGGCTTGTTTGCAGAGCGGCACGGCCACCTCGTACCTCCCCTGTGAGGCGTACTGGATCACCAGGTTGTGCAGCGTCCTGAGGCGCGCCGGGATCTCGTAACCTCCCTGCTGGGCCGCCACCTCTCCACTGGGCTGAGCTGATGGACAGGTGGAGGAGCACAGGGTCTGAATCAGTATAATATGGTTTGAGAAATTTCACAGCTACGACAAATAACTCAACTAATTATAAAACCTCACGTAAAAAAATGAGACTCAGATAAACTGAAACTTGAACTATCCAGGTGGAAAGTGAGAGGATAAAAAAGTTTTAATTAGTGCTGAGTTAACATTTCTCTGAAGCTCAAACATCTTAAATGGTTGATTTCATATCACATGAGACAATGAGTTTTCATTAAAAATGAGTAATCATCAAAATAGTTTTCCAGGAACAAGCGAGACAAGAAGAAGATTTAAATAAGAAGATCGGTCACACCCAGTCTGGTCTAAATCTCCTTTTAGAAACTGATCATGTGTTCTCCTCCCCTCTGCTCACAGGTGTCTCTGATTTCACTCTGAGTGAACCTCCCTCCTTCTCTCAGGTCTTCACGTGGGCTGCGTTCAGCCTCAAAAATACTTGGCACTTGTTTTTCTACGGTTTCTGGGTTTGAACGTTGTCGTTTCCTCGGAGGCTGTGTCAGAGGTGCTGCTGAAAATGCAGCGTGCACAATGGATTCTCAAATTCCCTTCACATACGCCAGCTGCTGTTCAGTGTTTGGATCAACTGAACATGTTGGAAGCTGAGACTCTAAACATTTTGTTCATGTTTTTGTGGTGAATGCAGCCACAGATTCGATTTTCTCCTTTTGAAGAAACTCCCAATAAAAAGAGAACGTAAATATAATGTGAGAACAGTGTAAGAGAATGAGAGACATTAAGTGTGGTCTATATTTTTGAGTTGTGTCTGATTGTGTCGTCAACATCGAGACACAACCTGCATAAGAAACATGTTTGAGTTTTCATTCATCAATAATAAAAGAGGCAGAGAAGAACATAGTGCAGCATTTTACCATCAGGCTGCATGAGCTGAGCTGTACGTTTTAATGAAACATCCATTTACCAACCATCACACACACTCACGTTTCTCCACTTCAGTCCTGTGAGCTGCGTCCAGCCTAAACTTTAAATAAACAGGTAACAGCTCTTTTACAGCTTCAGAGGGAAACCACCAAGCACACTAGTGCACCCCCCTGCACCCCCCATGTCTTACCTGGTCCTTGGTCATCGTCGTTGGGGAACAAGTCGTCCAAACTGTCCTTGGAAGTGTCTCCTCCCCCACTCCCGCCACCTCCACCCGAGCCCTGGCTCTTTTCCTCCGACGGCGACACGTCATCGTCGAACTTCTTGATCTGATTCATGAACTCCAGGTGCTTCTTCTCCTCCTCCAGCTGAGCGACGCTCTGCTCGCTGCGCTGCAGCTTGTGCTGTGTCCCCGCCAGCTCGTCCCGCAGCCACTGGTTCTCCTGGCAGAGGCGACGCACCTGGGCGCGCAGCTTCTGCTTCTCTGACTCCACAGCGCTCAGGTGGCTGGACAGGGCGATGATCACCTGGAGAAAAGACAATGTTACCGTTTCTTTGACTAAGGATCCAAAGTGAGCATTTTCAGATGAAGACTTCAAACTGAGTGATAGAAGAAAACTCCCAGAATGCTTTGCAAGTCAAGAAACGATGGTGTCAGATTTCTAGGGAAAAGATTTCAAGCACTGCTCATTGAGGGTTATCCAAATAAGGCGTAGCGCACTAGGGAGGAAGTGGGATTTGGTTGTGGTCTCTCACCTGTGCCTCTCCCAGGCCGAGCTCAATGGCCTCCAGACTCTTGCGGAGCAGCCCCGACTTCTCCTGGGCGACGGGTGGCTGGGTGCAGTCCAGCAGAGAGTTGAGGAGCTGGGCGTGTTCCCCACGCAGGGTCTCCAGACCCTGCATGACGGCCTTGGTGTTGAGGACGATCTCATCCTGGCTCAGTCGCTCCAGGGCTTCTTCACGTGGATACACCATGGTGGACATTGCCTGGTTTCATACACGCTGAGGGGACAGAAGGAGACAAAACAACCACAGGGGGATGAGAAGAGGGACAGTTTTCTCCTGTCCTGGTTTGGCATAATCTAAATATGAGGTCGTCTGTTGTCTGCTGAGGTGAGCTGGAGGTAGAGGAGACCAAATAAAAGAGGAGATATGAGAGAATGAAAGGAGAGAACGTGGACAGAAGTAAAGAGATACCCAGAGAGAAGGTCAAAAACAGTGAGGGGGGGTGCTGGAGCAGACAGTACACAGGTACTGTGTGTAGCTTTACTACAAATCTCCCATTTGTCCACAGTCAACAATAGTTTTCTTTACTGCATGAGAATCCTCTTCTGTAGTTAGAGGGCGGTCAGGTGTGAGTGTGGTACATGTACAGTTAAACCCAGAGAGATTACTACAAGAGGATTCCTGCGAGCTGAATTCTGACGCAGCCGCTGCCAGTGACCAGAGAAGCCAATTAAAAAGAGACGCTGTCACTCCACAGATCTGCTGCTCCAACGAGACGCTGGTGAAGATAATATCAACAGATAGTCAGCTGACTTTAGGTCACCACAGATAAACACTGTGCTTTAAGTAAACAACAGACCTGACTGCTAAAGGGATGTTTCAGTGTAAGATCCACATCCTTCAAAATATCTAAATGCATCAAGACAGAAAACTAAATCAGTGTTGGACTCTGAGTCACCGTCAATTCCAGAATCACTGTTTTTATCTCAGACAACGTTCAGGAAGCGTCTAATAACAATTCAGGAATCATACGGTGGATTTATCCAGTGGTGTGAAATGTTCGAGGCCGTCACCCTGAACATGAGCCTGTGGACCAGCGGTAAGTGAAACCATCGCAGCAGCAGCAGGACAGAGAAGCCGATTGTGCCCCATCGTGACTTTCTCCCTCTTTGATGGAGGAGGCACCTGTTCTCCTCTCACTCCCTCACCCATCCTCCTCTTCTCTTTCTCCCCCCCCCATCCAGCTCATACACTTGGCTGCAATGCACCAATATTCCCTCAAGTCACAGACGCAGAGAAGAGAGGTTGCAAAACAGGGAAAGTCCAGAAATGAAACACCATCACATATTCCTCCATCTTCAATCTGACCAGCAGGCCACAGAGATGGAGGGTGTGGGGGGAGGGGAGGGGGTGGAGGCCTGAGGCTGCAGGTGGATGAAGGTGACCGAGGATGAGGATCCTGAAGCTCGGAGCCGCAGCACAGGATCCTCTCAGTCATCCTCAGTGTGTACACAGGCCGAGCTGCAGGCGGTTCCACAATACTCATTCTAAATATTAATACACAAGTACCGGAGGAATACACAGGGGGGGGGGGGGGTAAATATACCAAATACACCGTGAGAGGTGACGTTTCACCGGTAGAAACACAGGAGACAGCGGACGACACATTTACGGTTCTGGTGACGTTCGATTCGACAGCTTGCTCCAACAATAAACCGGTAAATTACCGTCGAACCGTCTCCAGACATCGTCTCCTTATCAAAGTAAACCTGCGTCCGTGTCGTGACAGAGACGAGCTGCTCGGTTTTACCTTCATCGAGGAGCAGAGCGACGCGTCGTGTCCCTCGAACAAAGCAGGACAATGTTGTGATGCTGCGGCGGCAAGCGCGCGACGGGAAATCAAACTGCTTCCGGGTGGGCTTTCAAAGTAAAGCGACATGCATTGAGCAAAAGAGCAGGATGTGAGCTCGAGGGAGAAACACGAGCACTTACTGTTTATTTGGAAACGAGTCGTCCATTCTACAGCTTTCTAACTCCTCCTGCTTCTAAAACTACACATTCACGTGAACTGAAGTGAAACGTTTGAACTTTTAACAAAGCTTCAGTCGTTTTCTATTTGTGATCATATTTATTTATAATACTTAGTTATCTATCTCAATCTATCCTCCATAACCAGGACAATAATAAGATGATAAGATAAAATACTGTAGATAAAGATAGATAACATGGCATCTCGATCGCCCCCTGGTGGCTGGGCATAAACCCTGCCTCCTCCATGTCAGTGGATGGGACCAGAGAGGTCAACGTTCCATCGCATTGTTGTTAGCTAATGTGCTACTTCTAGTTCCACGATTTAGCAAAAAACAGCGGACGCTGCTGTTAGCGAATACAACTGTTGAACTGAGTTAGCTTTTACTTTGAAGGAGGCTGAGAACACGGAAGTGGCTCCAGCTGTTCCCGTAACTCTCATATCTCCCTCCACGGAGGAACCAAAATCACCACAACACCTCCTGCGTTCAGTTGAACGAGCGATTATAAACGATGTAGCTAACAGCTGGGTTAGCACGATGCTAACCGTCACTTCACATACCCACAATGCCATTGGTCAACGAAGAAGCTGCTGAAAATGTCCGTTAGCGACAGGAAGTCGTCATAAACAACCAGTGAGTAACCGGTAAACAACCAGTGA